AAGCTGAGATTACTGGAAAAGGAAAAAATTCTTGAAGCCAGCCAAGTATTATTTTTAGGTACTTAGCAGGAAAATTTATAAAGGACGTGCCTGTATCTCAGCTACATGGGAGGCAGACATAGCAGGACTGTGTTTTGAGACCAGCCTGGGGAAAAAAAAAAAGCTATTGAGGTCCTGTCTCAAAGAACAAGCTGGCCTGGTAGCTCATGCTTATAATCCTAGCAATACAGGAAGCAGAGGCCTGGTTCAAGGACAGCTCTGGGTAAAAGTGCAAGACTTCATCTGAAAAATAACTGAAGCAAAAAGGACTATGTGTATGGAGCAAGTGGTAGAATACCTGCTTAACAAGCATAAGGCCCTGAGCTCAAGCCTGAGAGCTGATAAATGAAAGGAAGGAAGGAAAGAAGGAAGGAAGGGAGGGGGGAAGGGAGGAAAGGAGGAATGGGGGAAGGGAGAAAGGGGGAAGGGAGGGAAAGAGGGAAGGGAGGAGGAGGGAGAAAAGGAGAGAAGGAAGGAATAAGGGGAAGGGGGAGGGGGAAGGAGGGAAGGGAGGAAGGAAGGAAGGAAGAGAATAAGGAATAACAAGACCTCTTGCTCCAGATAACCCCCATGGGCTGACAGGGTGGTGGACAATGGTGTCATTCTTATGTTGTTTCCATCTTTCTATAAAAAATAATCCTCAAAACCTGGGAAGTACAGGGTACACATGGCCAAAACCCAGCTGAAGTCCAAAATAAGCAGCGATAGCAAGACAGCACCTATGGCTTGGACATGACCCAGGTCTTCCAGTCCAGATGACCCCCATCCCAGGCTACTGCAAAAACCGTGGGTGGCCTGCTGAGCTGTCTTGGTGGCCTTCAGAAGTCAATACCACCTCCATGTGCTTGTGTAGAAATATCTGCAAGGCATGTCATCGAGGGAGACACGGGAGAAGGAAGATTGGATAGTGTGCTCAAAAGCCATCTGTCTGTACCTTACACTCATCTACATTCCTTTAAAAATATTTCAGAACATGAAAGTGAAAACAAAAACAGTAAATAATGACACATCCACGTCATACATAGAAAAGCAGGGAGAATGGAAGAAATAGAAGTTGGATCCTTGTGCTGCTGTTAGGAACACTACACGCACACACGCACACGCACACGCACTATTGCCGTATATGGTACATCTCTGCCCACGAGTGAATGTATATCGCATATAAATCTGGATTTGTTTACATGTGTATTGAAGGCAGTACAGTAAAAGAGGATTAAACATTTGTGTCTGGAAGCCATATTCCCTGTGCTTTAATTCAGGCTTTGTCACCTGCTGTTGGTATAACTTTCGGTGAGTTAGATAGCATCACAGCACTTGTTTCTTTATCTGTAAAATGATATAATACAGTTATGCAACTCACTGGATGTTTGTGAGGTATAAACAAGTTTGTACGTGTCAGGAATAATGCCCACACAATTATATAATGTAAGCAGTATGCTATAATACAGCAGTATGGTGTACGGGTATATAGGCATGTGAAAATAGAACATATAACTGCCTAGCCTACAGAAATAAGACTACTTCACATGTATTGCTAAATACCTTTTATATTTACTATGTAGCATATGGCACATTTAGATTTTCTTAGAAATTTCACAGTTATCTAATGACCAAAGTGATAGAGAATACCAACATAGCTCATGTCTGGAACGAACATATTATGAAGTCAGTATTTTAATCTTCCTGCATGATGACCTAATATTTCCCACTGGCAACAGGCCCTTGATGTAATGTGTATGTGGTGTCAAGGTGACACAGATTGGCCCAGGCTGGTAGCTGACACCTCTGCATTTCTATCCTGCCCCTCTGCCCTTCCAACTGCAAGGACTCAGGCAAGTCGCAGAACCTTTTTGAACTGTCCTTTCTCTTCTGCAACACAGGGAGATAATGTTTCTTGCAGTTTGGGGTGGGAAGGAGATACAAAAAATCCAAGAGCCTGAGACACAGTAAATGGTTAACAAATGGAAGCACTGATGTTCAGTATGTCCGCCCAACTTCAAATGTGGGTGTTTTTTTGTTGTTGTTTTGTTTTAAGTCCAATACAAACAAACATCCCACTGGAAGTTTTTGATCAGCTGTGCTGTTGCTGTATAGTGATTGTGACTTTGCCTTCAGGGCATGTGGTTTCAATAACCTTGCGTGGTTGGAAGTTTGCTGCCTGTAGGAGCAAGAGGAAAAGAGGCTGGCGTGATTCAAATTGCACCCCTATCTTATTGGGCAGCTGGAGACATTGCTCCTGTTTTCCCTCTGCCCGGCCCTGCTCCTCCTGCCTGTGTGAAGTCCATCACCCAAAATAGGTTTCCTGCTGAAGAAACAATAGAAACCAAAGCCTGAGGGGTGGCCCTGCTCTGTGTGGTGGGCTCAGGCCAACCAGGCCTCATCCACTAGAGACTCAGGGAATGAGGACTCACTCATCCCCTTTTCTTCCCTTAGTATGGACTGAAAAAGTTAAACTGCCATGGAAGGCACTATCAGGACAGTGCCTTTTCAAGGGGCCCAATATTTGATTAGTTAGGGGCCCAATTTGATTCTTGCAGTATTTATTGAAGGAACTGGGCCTGACATAGTCACAGGTAATTTTGAAGATCAACTATGTATGTGTTATGAGAATAAACCATTCAACACGTGCCAAGAACTCTGTTGAATAAAAGCAATGCTTTAATTCAAGGTAGGATGCAAAGATCAAGGAGTTCTTAGGCCACACGGAAGCGGTTTGGACTTGAAGCTTGAAAGAGAGAAGTGTGAGAAAGGTAACATAGAAGAAAGGCATTCCATGCACACACGGGCTTTTTTCACAGTTGGCGAAGCCAAACTGATGCAGCAGGCTGGATATTACTGTTATCTGTAGTGTCTCTCACGAAAGAACTTAGGACAATATAGTAAAATTGTTTAAGGACACGCATGAGATCACCACATCCAGAGCGATATCCTAGCAGCATAGGATTCCACTGCTTAAAAATTCTAGACGGATTATAATTCAGAGTCTTCATGAAAACCCGAGTTTGCTTTGATTGTTCTTTTAATTACGGGGCTCTAGGTATCAAATATTTGTGGAAGTGAGTGGATAATGACTGTTCTTACACTTTGAAATTTTTGCCTTCAGTTATTAAGATTTGCATTTCTCACTTTTGTTCTAGGGAAAGGTGTTTAGCCGTTTTTAGAAAACAGGTACCCAATGATCAATCCCCAATCAGCCCGTGAAGTTTCCGCCCTACACAAGTGCAAAATCTCAAGTATTAGCAATCTATCTCCAAAAAAAAAAAAAAAAAAAACCCAAACGGTTCTAAGAAGCGGGGAAGGGAGAGAAAGGCGGATCACTTTGCTAGGCGGATGTGTCGTGATTGGTGGGTGCTGTAGCATGAAGAAACTATTTGCTTGCTAAATGCCGCCAGAGAAACTCCTTAGGATCCTGCGTTTGGCAGGTGTGCCCCAAGTCTGGCTCCTAGATCTCTGCCCTTCTAGGAGTGTCAGGAATAAACACAGAGGAGCCATCAGTCTCGCGGGGGTCTGGTGGCACTGTGGGAAACGCAGGGGTACCCAGGGACGCAGCCCAGCAAAGGATGCGCTTCCCAAGATGACAGAGATGGGGAAATTGAACAGACAGCTGGTATACAGTAAAAGGAGAGGAGGAAGAGCGAGAGAGGGAAACGGGTTGCTCCAGTTCCAGTTGTTTCTCTTCACTCCCCCCACCTTCCCCACTGCAGCCTCCCCTGAGCCCCTCCCGGTCTTTCCTGGACGCGGGCTCCCGAGGATCCCAGGCAGGGCCCGCCCCACCCCGCCCTGGCTGGAGATTTAATGGGATTTTCCCCCTGGCAACCCGAAGCTGCTTTCCATCAATGAAAGTGAGATTAGGAGACAGGTTCGGAGCAGCGCGGAGCTGTCACCGCGCACACCTGAGTCAGCCCCCAGCCCCGGCTTCACTGCGGAGTTCGTCCAGGTGCCGATGCAGCGCAGTGTCCCCCGTGTCGCCGTGGAAGGCGTTGGAGCCCAGTGCGCAGCCTGCTTTCACCCTAAAGCATCCCTCACTCCCTGGTTCCTGGGCACTGGGGTGCGTTTCGGGTTTGTTTTTGTGTTTTCTTTTTATTGGCCTTAGTCATAAGAAATCAAACCAGTTGAGCCACCCCGAAGGCAGACATGCGACAGCCTCAAAACTTTTCTCCCCCCGCGAGGAGGAGGTGGGCGCGACGCGGCCGCGAAGGCGCAGGCGGCGGGGCGGGCTACGCGCAGCCGGGCTCGGGGAGGCAGTGGTCGCTTTAAAACCGAGCCTCGGCCGCGGCGGCCCTTGCCGGGCGCTGGGCAGGCGCGGCTCCCCCCGCAAGGTCCCGCGGACCCCCACGCACTCCCCGCAGTTCACTGTTTGCAATCGGGGAGGGGGCGGGCGGGGCCCGGGTCGCGGCGGCGGGGCAGCTGCCAGGGGAGGAAGTTGACCGAAGGGACCCGAGCAAGCCTGGACGCGTGTGACCCAGGCGAGCTCCCGGAGGACAGCGAGGTCCCCCTGGCCCGGCCCCCCGCAGCCCGCGGGTCCCTGATCGCTGCCGTGCGCGGAAGGCAGCTTGGCAACGCGCTTCCTGCGCGGCGGGGACCGCGGGGTTCCTGCGCGGCGGGCGGCCAGTGGCAGCCGGGAGGCCGGCGAGGACCCGCGGGACCCGGGGCGCCGCCCCGCCCCCTCCCTCCCCACGCGGGCGGGCGCCGGGCGCGGTGACCGCGGCGGCCGCGCTGCCCTCGCCTCCCCATTGTTCCTCCGCTCTTTTGCCTTTTGTTATTTGCACTCGCATTGTGTTGTTTGTCTCTGAAGCCGCCTCATGACCAGCCGAGGGATTTCACCTCGTCCTTGAGAGCCACACTGGGAGCGCGAGCGAGCGAGCGAGCGAGCAAGCCAGCGAGCGAGCCGGGGGCAGAGAGAGGGCCACGCGCGCGCGCGCACACGCGCACACACACACACACACACACACACACACACGCACCGGCACACACGCACCCACACCCAGAGTGGGAAAGGCGAGGCGAGCCACCCCAAGCCGTCTCCGGTCTCCTCGCGGGGGCCCCCCGGCCCGCCCCGGTGCCACTTGGCATCCCACGCCACAGGAGACGGTGCGGAGAGCGGTAAGGTGCGTGAACCGCAGCGTTTGAACTTTGTCGTTGGTCCCGTGGCGCCGGCGGGCAGCGCTCCAGGGCGCAGAGCTCCGCGCTCGTTCCCGGCTCCCGCGGCGGGGCGTGCGGGGCGCAGGGCCGAGCGAGGCGGGAGCGGCTGCGGCCGCGCGGGCCCCGCCATCCCCGCCGTCCCCGCCGTCCCCGGCCCACGGCGTGCGCTGCGGCCCGGCCGGGAAGCGGAGAAGTTTGTGGCTCGCCTGGCCGGGAAGCCTGCGCGCCGGGCCCGCGTCGCGCTGTACGTGGGGGGGGCGAGGCAGAGATGCGACAGCCGGGCAGCTGTGCGGGCAGCGCCCGAGGCCGGGCTGGGCATCGGGGGCGCCAGGCGCAGACCCCAAAAGTTGGCAAAGCCCCTGGCCCTTTCTAGGATGCAATCGCCACGCACAGCCCACCCAGCACCTTCAGATCCCCGCCCCCCCTTCTCTTTTTGTTTCGGTTTCTGCAGCCCTTTTCCCTTGGCTCCTCCGCCCTCCCTCCCGGAATTTGGGGCTAAGTCTCATCCTTCTGGAGTCTAGGGATTCAGACACCGGAAGCTTTAATTTTGATTGCAACTACTTTTTCCCCCTCCGCACTCTGCACAAAGTCTAGACCGCTCACGTGCTCTGTCACTTTAAGCGCGTGTTGGGGAACCTCACTTGCAATTTGGGGCTCCAGTAAGGAAAAGAATCAAATTGAATTTGGAAATGTCTGCGTTGGAAAGCAGGAGTTTGGGCAGTATTCATCTGCTGATCGCCGTGCACAAGAAGCATCGCTGACATATTTTAATAGTCATTTTCTTTACACTTTGCAAAGCGATTGTATTAAATACATAGATTGACCCTGGTGAATATCCTAAGACGCCGGCCTCTGTGCCTAAATTCAGAGTGTGAGAACTATGAATTCACTTAAGTGTTTTCCCTTCTCAGCTAAGCAGTTCAAAGTGAGGAATTCTGTAATTAGGTAGGTAGAGTCTGGCTCTCAGTGCCACCAGCCCAGGTACTCTGGGTGGCAGTAACTGTGCTACTTGTGTAAAGCTTAGAAATTTGTTCTAATCCAGTTGAGATCCTCACAATACTCAGATAACCAAAGGAGTTTGTCAAGAAAGGCTTCAGGAGATTCCCCCAGGGAATGCCTTGGGGCTCACAGCTCCTCCTTCAAGGGCAAGACTGAGGGAGATCTGTGGGATCCTGGGTAATAAGTGTGGGAATGTGCAAGGAACTAGCAGAATGATTTGTTTTCTTGCTGTTCATAACTAATGGCCCCTGGTATTCTTGATACACACACAGACACACGGGCACACACAGATACAGACAAACACACAGAAACACGCAGACACACAGATACAGACACACACAGAAACACGCAGACACACACAAACACACAGACACACACACACACACACACACACACACACACACACACACACACACACACACACACACACAGCCAAGGAAATGCAGGCCTGTGGGAGATTTGCAGGCGATGGATGTCTCAGTCAGGAAAACTAGGGGAGAGCTTTGGATTAGGATTGCAGGAGGGAGCTCCATAGCCAAGCCAAGAGTGATTAGGTCAAGGGCCAGATGGTTTTAAAGTCAACGGAAATGGTTTTTAAGTTTGACTTTTAGAGCATTTAAAAGGGGGACGATTTCATAGAGTCTTTGCAGAACTGCTAAATTTTGATCTGTCTAATTTTAAAGGAATTCAGCTGTGAGAGAATTGCTGTTAGTTCAGATAGGGAAGGAATCTGGTTTCAAATGCAGCTCTATGAATGAGATTGCTAGGGGCCCCTCTTCCTGATTTAAATATAGGTCCCAGATCAAAGCCTAGATACATGGAGCAGCAGTGATTTAAAATCATAGGTATGTCCACTGAAAGTTCTTACAGGCACTATGCAAAGCTCTGCAAATTGTGCCACCAACTGTTTACTCCCCAGAAGTATACTAGATAAAATCATAAGCATCTTAAACTGATGCAACACAGCTACAAACCCTTGAACTGGGAGAGATTGCTTTTGTTTGCCTAAAAGGTAGATCTTTCATCACATGAGTTGTTTAAAAAACATTTAATTGTGGGGGTGGGAAGGGTGTGCATAATTATTTAGCTATTTGTGTTAATTATATAGTAGCTTGAAATTCTTTCTTTCTTTTTCCCTTTTCTTTCCAGTGGTCTTCTAACAACCTTGTTTATGAAGAATCAACCATTTTTTGCTTGCTTGTGGGTTTTGAAGTTTTTCTTTTTATAGCCTTTTTGAATTGGGAGTATTGATCTAATCTGACATGGACTTGAAAGCATAAACTTTTAATATAGGGGGAAAAAAGCTTCAATTCTTAATGCAGAAACCCTGTATTAGTTTTGTTGTTGAGATTAAACAGTTTTGGTTGAATGGCCTGTTGTGTACAGGATTGAAAACTGCCAAGCTTATTTGGTAAATAATCAGACATTTGAGGTCCAGTGGTTATCTCAGATTAACTTAGCTCTATGTGTGTAAACATGCATCCTGTTTAGACTGACACGTGGTTATGTAAAAGAGAAAAATATAATATATACTTACAAAGGTGCTTACAAAGATGCTAACTTTGAAGTAGATGGTATAAATAATAAGAATGAAGTTAGTATTCGTGTAGACTGCTTTTTTTTTGTTGTTGTTCTTTTGGTCCTTTGGGGGAAAGGCAGGAGTAATAAGTTTAAATTTTCAAAATTTCCTTTTCTAGATAAAGGAATAAACCTGAGTTCTTGTAGAATATTTTTCTCATAAAGCAAATTAAAAATATGATACAATGCATACAAGAATATGCTGTCTTTTACTGAGTGAGAAGCAGTCATTACTTAGAAGGTATGTTCGCAGTACAGAAACCCCACAAAACTTGTGGTTTGCAATGTCCAAAAATTCACAAGATTTCAAATAACCAAATTCCAGTGTTGAATACTGTTAAGATTTTCAGGAGGTAAAATTGTTGGGGGTATTGATTGGCAAAGCCTAGATGATTCATCCAATGAGACCAACCCTAGTAGTAGAGATGCTATAATTAGAGTTTTGAGAATAACCTGGAAACTCAATTTATCCAGGCCTGGAGTCAAATTCACTCCCTCAAACACTCAGTTTTTTAAGTCTGAGAAGTGTACATTCATTTTAAAGGCGAAGAAAGTGCTTGTCTGTTTCAAATAAAGTATATCCTGAACTTAGATTTGTAGATAGTTAATAAACTAAATGTCCAATTTTGTTCCAAACGTTGTTTTAAAACACCCATTTGTAAACGGTCTACATTTGGATTTCATATGTTAATGATTTGGGATCTGAAACTTATTGCAGAAAGGCATTTTGGTTTATCTTTAAAAACACCACACAAAACTGTCTAAACAACTCTGTAAATAAACTGTTCCAAATGCCTCAATTTGATACATGAATTAAAGAATTATGGTTCTTAATCCAATTATGATCAGTCTTGCAATTCCATCTCCCATTCAGGGAGCTTGGGGGGAATTGCAATAGTAAATGACTCTCAAATGTGAGTGGGGTCTTTGTTGCTTCTTTTCTGTGTGTGATGAAACTAAATAATTACTTATATCTAACACTTACGAGAAAAATTCTAGATGTAGAGAAGTTATTTAATGAGCTTCAATTAGCCAAGAGTTAATTTGCATGACAAATTTCTCTTAAAAGAAGAAAAAATGGAGTTTTTTAACACTGTGAAACAAGCTCCCAACCTTTTGCTTAAATACAATGGATTTTGATATGAAGTTGATTTCAAAGGTAGAGACATGCAACACCTAAGCATCAGAGACTAAGGCACCTCAGTGACTGGCAGCTGAGCCATTTTGAGACATTTCTGTAGAAAAGAACATGAACTTTCTCAAATTCCATTTCCTGTCTTTAAAAATAAGGGAAGGTCAAATGTAGCCTATAAGCGAGGGAATGTGTTCTGAGCGGTGTCTCCAAAGCCCATTGAGCAGCCTCTGTGGATGCTTTGGGCTCCTAATGGGAAACCTAAATTTTAGTATGGACCCTTGCAAAAGCCTGTTTTGCTTTGATGAATTCTTCTAGCTCCCTCTCTCATTTGCCCAGCCTAAAGTCTGGCTTGTAAACTCATTAATTCAAAGGTATGTATAGTTCATTATGATTTAATTCTCTAGCTAGATGATGTTATTTTTGCAGTTTATTATTATCATCAAATTCCTTAGAGAAAGAGTAGTGGAGGTTACATGTATCAAGAAAAGCTATGGGGGGAAATATTTATAAGCATGGGGATTTTTCTAGTATCACTAAATCAGACCTCAGAGGCAACTAATTATTCTTCTTACAGTTAAAGATGACATTCAGTAGAGGGAACATACTGATACAATTAGAGAAAAATGAATACATTTAAGCATACATTAAGTAACTCGTTAAAAATTGAGCCATTGAAACAACGTTTCTTGGGAGTAGAGGTGCTGCTATTGACTTCTGAAGTATAGATCCATTCTTTGTCTTACAAGTTTAAAAACAAAACCAGAAACCTAAAGATGTGATTAAATCTTGGTGCTCTTAGGTGCCATTCAGCTACTTCATGGCTCTGTGCTGTCCTCTGTCCATAGGGGACAGATGGAGGAGCTGTCGTAGTGGTAGGAGGACTCTAGCTTGACATCCAGTTGGTGTTTTCTGACAACTCAAGGCACTGTGAATATTGGGGGGGAGGAAACAGGAAGTGGGAGAGGCTGTCGTGAGCCTTTGGGGCTTTCCAGTTTAGGCCTACTTAGGATTTATGCAAGACTTTATCTGGAGTGCTGAACATCCAGGGCTCTGTTCCCCCCTTAACTCTCCAAAGCAAGAAATTATAATGCTTTTCTTCTAGAGATATTGTGAAGATTATGGTAGCACTGTAGGTGCAATTCCTGACACGGTGTCTGTCATGAACTAGGTGCTCAATAAATGTGAGCTGTACTCTTGTCTCCCTCCCACCGAGTCTCAGTTCTTAAGAATAAATATGTTTGAAGCTTCATTTTT